TGTCGACCTCAACGTGTTGGTCGATATCCAAATCGAGTAATTTCTCTAATTCTCTCCAAAATGCTCCAAAACCATCACTTTCTTCCAAAATACTCTTGAACCTATAAATATACTTAAAAGCTTCTATAATATAATAAATAGTTATAAAAACAATAATATACTATGATTAAAAGTGGGTCAAAATCATGATATATTAATGAGTAGTGGATATAAGCCGAGTATCGAGTATTTGTATCCAGCCTTAGAGCTATAGACTCTGGAGACGTTCATGCCATATGCCAACTTAAGACGATCACATGGTTGTGTAAACCGCCATATTTGTATGTTTCAGTTTCTAATCAAAATCTTTCTGAGGAATAAAAAATATTAAATATATCGACATGACTAAATTCTGAATATGATGTACTATATTATTTATTACTAGAGATCGTCCACCCCGCGCAAGCACAGGGTTATTACTATTGGTGTTATGTTGTTTTTATCCATGAAGGAGTGACTCATGTGTTGGGGAAGTTCTTTTTGAGACTGTGAAATGAATTAGATTATTTAATGATTCATAAAAGTTTGTGATCAGGTTTTGTAAATGAATGTTTGTTGATATATGGATGAATTGTTTTATGTTTTATGTTTTATTTGTTTTATTGGACTTTGGTATATATGTGTATATTATGGTATTAAAATGTTGTTTTAACCGTAATTTATGACTATTTAGTTTCTTTGCATTTGTTTTCATCTAAACATCGAAATTTCTTTTTTAAAGAGAAAGGAAACAAAATCAAGAGTTTTATGCTCTCAGTCTGAGTGCATGGATACAAAGCGGACATTTATGCAATGTTTACATAAGCTATGTTTCTTTAGGAATGCATGTCACCATGTAATGTGTAGTGATTGATGCATTTAGTTGTGGACATTACCAATATGCAAATGCAGTCAGCACTGCCTTTTTAAAATAAAAACTTAGTAATTGTCCTCTTCATAGGAGAGAGTTTGCCGTAAATTAAAGAGAAAAACCAAAATTAAAAATCATATATATAATGGATTGAAATCATAACAACTCTGGAAATATAGAACAAACAAATTGAAACTATCATTCACACATGCATTAGCGGCTATTCTCTTCTGCTTCAAAACCAGCAGGATTTGGTTCATCATCTCGTGCTGCAACAGTGTTGCTGCCATATGCAGCTGCTTCTTCACCTTCGTTTGTCACTTGTGTGAGACTGTAAATTGCAGGCCTAATAACACAGAGGAATACATTCTCGAAGGAGGCGTCTGGCTTTTGGCAAATAGATGGAAGAATAGAGGGTGTCGGTGTATGTGGATTGAACTCACAAACCTTTTTTATTTATTTATAGAGTTTGAATTATTCTTTTGATTTTAAAACGAATAAAGTTTGGATCATAAATAAAAGGAGACGGAGAGTCGTGGGAGTGAATAGGTTTAATGAGAACAACAGATTCATTAAACATGAGAAATCAAAACGTTGAAATAGGGTAAGCAAGAGATGTAAATGAATAGACAAGAGAGGTAAAATATGAAGGGGAATGTCTGGTTTTTCTCAAACAATGGATGACACACTGAAATGTCAAAGGTTCTTCTCAATCTTCTCTAATTCTCATAAATTCGCCATTTTTTATATTCTGAGAATCCCATAAACGGAGGCGACAAACAACCATAATCTGAGCATTTTGACCAAAGTAAAGAGAATCAAAAGTTGAGACGCATGCAACGACTTTAGCAATCAAAGCAAAAGCTGAAGTTATTTTCGAGAAGATGTGATAATATTTGACTGGAAAAATAATTAATGAGAGAATCAGAGATGAATGGTTTCTCCGTTTAGATATAGTATATATTAAGCGTAATGCATGAGGTATTATGAACATGGTTCATTATTACTTAACGGAGTAAATGGGTACTATTATGCAATTTTGTTAAACGTCAATGTTCTTCTCGTTCTCATAAATTAGCCATTTTTATGTTTTGTGAATCCTAAAAACGGAGGCGGCCAAGGTAGAAAGAATCAAAAGTTAACAGACATGTAAAGGCTTTAGGCCTCGATTAGTACATCTGATATTAATATAGTAGCAGTATGCTGTAGAAGCACTATACTGTAGAAGATGTATGCTCTTACTATTTTTTTTTAATAAAGTGATTGATAGAACAATAGCAGTACATAATTTTATAATTATCATAAAATTTAGTATATAATATATTTACTTTAAATAAATAAATATTATAATATATATTAATAACATTTTTAATAAAATAATGAATCTTATTCAATTACATAAATGGTTTTATATTTTAAATGTGAAATATTAATATTTTAAAAAATATATATAAATTTATTGTAAAAATATAAATCTCTTTTTGCATATAAACATAATTTTAATATTATTACATACAATAATAAAAATTATATAAAATCATATATAATTAATTTATTATTTTATTATTGGTAGAGAATTAAATGATTAATCTATTTATTTTTAAATAATATTAATATGTTTATATCTATAATATATAATTATATTAAATTTAGGTTTCTTATTAAAAATAATGATTGATATGTGTAATTATATAAATTATATAATATTTAAAATGTGAATTGCAACTTTTAAATTAAATATATTTAATTACGATTTTGGAAAATAATTATGTATAGTTATTTTAAATTTTTATATTTTTTAAGAACAAATGGTCTTCCCAAAGCTCCATATGATAACTTTGAGCAAATAGCATTTGGAGAACATTAGCATCTTGTAAATGAATTTCTAAATACTTTTCTCATAAATGTTGATTGGATAATAAGAGTATAATTCTTATGATAATACTACTAATCAATCCATCAACATCTAAAGCTGAAGATGAAGTCATTTTCGAGAAGCTGCAGTAAAATTCGTCTAGAAGAAGAATCAATGAGAGAATCAAATATGAAGGATTCCTCTGTTTAGATATAGTATATATTAACCGGAATACAAGATGTGTTATGAATGTGGTCTATTGTTAATCAACATAATAAAATATGAGATGTAAAGGTAGAGTAAGAAAAACTAATTCATGAAAATAGAAACACTCACTCTATGAATATGAAGATCTAGCGACTTAATAATTAATCGGGGATACCCAGAAATTAAATACTTTATTTTATTTATAAAATAGCTTAGGTACTATAGTCTACTATTCCTAAAATATGTCAAGTATCCATAATAGTATGGTGGTAAAGACTTTATTTGAAAAGTAAATAATCTGGGTTTGATTCCTAATCAATACATTTTTATTTTTCTTTCAGTGGGACTCACAAATATGCTAACATGGCACGCTGGGAGTGAGCAAAGTGTCCCATTATAATATAAATTAGTGAAATAATTCAAAAAACTCCACTTTTATTTAAAGTAAATGTTCCATTTGGGTAAATCCACAATCGGGTCTTAGCTAACAAATACATCAATGATCATTTAACTATCATATATTCACTACATCTGAAATCTTTTTAATAGATTCTATTTTTTTATATGAAATTTTTTAAATTTTGCACCCGTAAATATGCGCAATAAATTGCCTGCCAGACTGCAATTTTAGAATGCTAATCAAAGTTAGATATTATCTTGTGAAATCTTTTCTTTTTCTTAGCGTTGGATCTATTATTAAGGCTTATAGACAAATAGTTCTAAACAGTGAGAACTAGCAAAAAAAATATAGGAAAGGAATATACTAGTAGAGATCCAGGTATACTAACGTATCTATTTGCGTATAGATGATTAAAGATTTTCATATAAAATATTTATATTTTTGCTTCTCGAATAGTTGAATCTCAAGGGAGATAATCTTCTATTAATCCAAAAACTCATGCTTCAGATTGAGTTGAAGACGATTCCCACCCTCTTTTTTACTACTCTAGTAGGAGCCGCCGAGAGAAAACAACTCTTTATACTGCTCTATTGATAATAATATAGTCAAATAAGTTACGGTTCCATAGAATTTCATATTGTCTTTCGCAGTAACCATAGTTTGCAACAATAACTTCATCAGCATCAAATGAAGAATTATCAACGATTGAAAGTCAGTAATAGCATCACCATCATTCGCAATAGATCTGTCAATTACCTATTCCAAATAGTTCAAATGAACCGAAGCTTTTTCCAAATCATGTGAACAATTAAAACTGTTAAATTTTTCCGGCCAAAACTATTTGTTGCATTCATTTAATGTCTTACATAATTGTCACTTTCTACCAAAAAGATGAAATAATCTTGGCCGTTGAATTATTTCCAACAAAATATAACCATTGTATTCATTAGTCATTTCATATCTTACATAATTTTTCATTTTCTAGCAAAATGAAAAAAATAATCTTAGTCATTAATTTTTTTCAACAAAGATCTAACCATTACATTCAATACTCACATCCTATTTTACATTTTTTTTTCACTATCTAGCAAAAAAATACACATTAATCATAGCCATTAATATTTTCCAACCAAAATCTAACTCTTGCATTCATTAGTCACTTCATATCTTTTCTATTTTGTCATTATTTACGGAAAAAAGATGAAACAATTTTAGCATCACTTTAACAAAAAAAAATAAGAAAGGAAATAGTAATACTTGGACCTATTAAAATACCTTTGTTGCTGACAACCATTATTTGGACTTTTTAACCTCGAAGTGCTCGTACGAATCAAACTCCACCAATGGGAATTGAAGCAAACTTATCTAAGATTGTAAAGTATTTACCTAAAACCGTAGAATAAGTAAAAGTTCTCAGTTAAACCCCTCATTAGTTCAAAAATTACAAGAAACCCGGACCCACCCCCAAATCGGAGTAAGAGGAAAGCCCTTTTGGAGAAAAAGTTGAATCGTTACCGCCAAAGGAAACAAAATAAAAAAGGTACATGACTTAATCATCTTCTTCCCTCCATGCCAAAATCTTTCTGCTAGGGTTTTCGATTTCACACACTCTCTCTCTCTTTCTCAAGCAAAATCCTGTTGATTGAGCCATGGATATGACTACTTGCGTCGGCAGAAGAACTCGTTCGAGGACGGAATCTTACTTGAACTCGCTTCTGAACAAATCAAAGGGGATTGCTGTGGAGAATCAATCTAGGAGTAGGATAGAGAGGCGGCAGAAGAGAGATTCCGTGCGTGATTCTATTTCTCCGGCGAAACCGAAACCGAAACCGAAACGGCGACGGGAAAAGAAGAGGAAAGACGACGACGATGTGGAGTTCGTGGAGACTATCTACACGGAAGGTAAGCATGATGATGATAATGTAGGTTCATCATCAGTGATTACTCCTGATCTAGATAAGGTCTGTGATGATGTTTTTGTCGAAACTATCCCTGGAGGGAAAGATGATTGTGATATGGTTGTGGAAGATGCTGATTTGAGGGGTGAGGAGAAGGTTTCAGAGACTGATGAGGTTGTGAGTCTTAGCTCTAGTTCTGAAGAAGGAGAAGAAGAAGTCTCTGTAGAAGACGTAGGAAGTGATGATGAAGAAGAAGAAGAAGATGCGGAGTCTGACTCGTCTGATTACATGGAGGAAAGCTCCGATTCTACTTATACAGGGAGCTCTGATAGTGGTTTTGATTGTTCTGATGATGATGAGGTTGGTCACGGTGGTGGTGATGCCAGAAACACTGCAAAAGTGAGGAACAAGAGTCCAAGTGAAAGAGTATATAAGAGGGAGAGGCGGGAGAATGATTTGGATGTATTTAGGCTGCTAGCAAAATCTGTTTGGGATAAAACAAAGATTCTCGAGGAATATATCTCCTCGGGGGGCGACGACGAGGAGGTTGATACTAGAGAAGATCCTATAGTTAGAGAGACCTCTACTGAATATCCTCTAGTTAGAGAGAGGAAACGAAGGAGATACCATAGGGAGAAAAAGAAGAAGCACTTGAATGTGAATGATGTGGTAGGAGATTCATTTTGTGGGGAAGGTGATGTGGGTGGAAAACCGTGGGTTTCGACTTATGTAAACCTTAGATTTGGTTGTGAGGAGGAGCCTGAGCCAATCGAGAAAACGGAAGAGGAGAAAGAGATAGACAGGTTGTGGGAAGATATGGCCTTGGCTTTATCATTGGAACGAGTACACTCTTCTACTTATGCTAAAGTAAGAATACTATTTTCTGTCTTTCTTTTTGTTTTCCTTGATTGACGATCATATGCTTTTTTAATGTCATTGTTTAGACATGAAGCTGAATCTTTTGCTCTTTGATGCATCAGAATGGTGTGTCATGTAGCAATGGGAAGCATGACTTCGTATTGGATGAAGAAGTTGGTCTAAAATGCCGCTACTGTTCTTATGTCTCCGTCGAGATCAGAGATGTCTCGCCTACTATGGTAGCATCCTTTGTGCTAAAAATTGTACTATCGATAATATTGTTTTTATATTCACCCGTTCTTAACATGTCCTTTCATCTGCATTGTGCAGGACAAGTATCGTGCTAATATTAATGACAAGAAGACATGCAGTGACATAAAGGGTGGTACTTTACTTGACAGCCTTGATTTTGAAGCTTCAGACCGCAGCAGAGATGTGGAGTCTTTGAAAAATACACAAGGAACAGTCTGGGAATACATCCCTGGCATAAAAAACACTCTGTACCCACACCAACAAGAAGGCTTTGAATTTATGTGGAAGAACTTAGCTGGGACAACAAAACTTGACGAGTTGAAAAGCTCAGTAGGAAAAGAAAGTGGCGGATGCATTATCTCTCACTCGCCTGGAACTGGAAAGACGCGTCTGACCATCGTGTTTCTTCAGTCATACCTTGAACAGTTTCCAGAGAGCCATCCTGTGGTGATAGCTCCTGCAAGTTTAATGCTTACTTGGGAAGAAGAGTTCAAAAAATGGAATTCAAACATTCCGTTTTATAACATGAGTAGTCAAGATTTTTCAGGGCAAGAGAACCAATCAGCTGTCTCACTTCTAAAGGGAAATAAGCACCTTAGGAGAAACAAGGATTCTGTCCGTATGGTCAAGCTATATTCTTGGAGGAACAAGAAAAGCATCCTTGGCATCAGCTATAATCTGTATGAGAAGCTCGCTGGGAACAGGTGCGCTGGAGAAGTACAAGAGTTTAGAAAGATGTTACTAGAATTGCCCGGGCTGCTGGTCCTTGACGAAGGCCACACACCGAGGAACCATAATAGTTGCATTTGGAAAGTGCTCACTGAAGTCAAAACAGAGAAGCGTATCATTCTTTCAGGGACACCGTTCCAGAATAATTTCAAGGAGCTTTCTAACGTCTTGTGCCTGACAAGACCAGCTTATGCAGATAAGATCTCTTCGAGGCTCCAAGATCTCACAAGGTTGAGCCAAGAAGGCCAAAACGGGAGGTTCGATGAAGAGGTTGGAATCTCAGAGCTTAAGGATATGATTGCTCCTTTTGTTCACGTCCACAAAGGAAACATCCTTAAAGAAAGCCTTCCTGGTCTAAGAGACTGTGTTGTGATGTTGAACCCTCCTTTTCAGCAGGAGAAAATCTTGAAAAGAATTGACCATTCTCAAAACACGTTTGAGCTTGAGCACAAGCTTTCAGCTGTTTCGGTACACCCATCTCTGTATATGTGCTGCAAGCAAACCAACAAGGAACGGTTAACAATTGGTCCAGTAGCATTGAAAGTCCTGGAGAGCCTCAGGCTTGACTCAAAGGAAGGTGCGAAGACTAGGTTCCTGATTGACTTCATCCGCTTCAGTGACACAGTGAACGAGAAAGTCTTGGTGTTTAGTCAATACATCGACACTCTAGAGCTGATCAGGGACCAGCTCAATTCAGTATTTGGCTGGACAGAAGGTGAAGAGATTCTCTATATGCATGGTCAACTTAAACAAACAATTAGACAGCATCTGATCAACAACTTCAACAGACCAGACAGTAAATCTAAAGTGCTACTAGCATCAACAGGAGCTTGTTCAGAGGGCATTCATCTCGTCGGCGCCTCGAGAGTTGTGCTCCTCGATGTTGTTTGGAACCCTTCTGTTGAGCGGCAAGCCATAAGCCGAGCATACAGAATTGGTCAGAAGCGGGTTGTGTACACTTACCATCTTATGGTTAAAGGCACAACTGAGTGGGGTAAGTACTGTAAGCAAACGAAGAAACATCGCATCTCCGAAATGGTCTTCTCTCCTACCAACGAGAAGGACAAGCTTATTGAAAACGAAGTTGTGTCTGAAGATAAAATCCTGGACGAGATGGTTCGCCATGAGAAGCTGAAAGACATGTTTGGGAAAGTACTTTATCGCAAGAAGGAATCTGACATGTTTACAGACATCCTCTGATTTGTAATATATCCTTTTTGTTTCTGCTAAGCGTTTTATAGATATTATTTTTTTTTTTGTTTTTTTAATAGAGTTCGCTATAGTAGTAATATGTAATTTGCTAGTTCGATTACTTCTATAATCAAGGAAAGAGACAATGTTTAGCTTGAGAATGATTCTTTTGCAAGAGCGATTTACAAAAGGGTAAGGACCAAACTAACTAAAACCATGGCTGCGACTCTCGACAACACTCTAGAAGATGGAAGCTGCAACCTCGGTGAGTTTCCTCTATCAATCATGATAGGAAACTCACAATGGTCATCAGAGGGATCTTCATCAGTGATCAAACCCAACCCCAAGAAGTCACAGTCCCATGGTTTCTGATCATGCATCTGATAATACATATTAAACGCATACGAAGCATTACCTGTGTTTGTAAGATGGTTGCAAGAGGAACCATAGCCAAGTGCTGTGCAATCAGATAAGCTACAAGCGTAGTCGACGTTATCAGCCAAGTCATCGAGGTTAAACGCGTTAGCGTCAAGAACACACCAAGTTTTAGACAGATACTTCACATCTTGTACAGGAACCAGAGTCTTATCATCACCTTTACCAGACAAATCAAGTTCGTATTTGGGCCTTCCATCAAACTCAAAGATGCCCCAATGCCTCTCAAAAGTCCCTGGAGCAATACTCTTTGCGTCCTCATCGATAAGGCTGAAGAGATAAACATCCATGATCACTCCTTTCCTCGCGGGAGTTCCATTGCCAGACATAGCATGCTTTACCATTCCCTGGTTGAATCTCTTTGCACTCTTTGCGTTAGCGTTCCTGTCTCCATCCGTAGGCCATCCAACTTCTCCAACGATGATCTTCATCCCCAAGAAGCTGTATCTTTCCATTGCACAAACCAAAGTGTCGAGATTCGCATCAAACACATTGGTGTAAACCAAATCTCCATCTCTCAGAGAGTTGTTACTCCCATCAAAGAAGGCGAAATCCACAGGGAAGTAAGCGTTTCCGTAAAGACTTAGAAAAGGGTAGATGTTGACCGTGAATGGAGAATCATGTGTATACAAGAAATTGATTATCTCAATCGTTACATCTCTTAGCTCTGGTCTAAAGTCTCCAGCTGATGGAACAGGGTTTGATTCGGGAGAAAAATAGATGTCTGCGTTGAAAGGAACCGTGACTCTCACGTTTTTCAAATCAGATTCCTCTAGTGCTTTTTGTATGTTGATGAGAGCTGGTAAAGTGAACTCAACGTAAGTGCCGTTATATGTCTGAAGGAAAGGCTCGTTTCCGACAGCTATGTACTTGATGTTGACTCCACCGCTGTAAGAATAAGCCGTGACGTTCTCTTCTACCCATGCAGCTGCTACGGATGGATCTTGAGCGACTTCTTTAAGCAACCGGTTTGGTATTCCTATCATGACTTCGATGTCTGAACCAATTAGAGCGTTTAGGATGTTTTGGTCGGCTTCGAAGAGTTTCAGCTTAGTGAACCCGTTGTCCTTTAGCATCTTCACCACCTTTTCAGGTGGAAGCTGGTGACTCGCCATTGTTCCCCAGTTCACTCCTACACTAGTGTTGCTGCAAGAGGCGATGGAGACCTGTGAGACAAGAAAGAGGCATAGAATCTGATGAGAAAAGAAACTGTTTGTTAGTCTTGATCTCTGTTCTGCCATTTTCTCTCTTTGTCCTTTAGATGATTTTTTTCTCTTTTCTTTATGTGGTCGTAATGATGTTACAGAAGGAAGAAGAGAAAGGTGATTGGATCTGTGATTTGTACTTTGTTCAGTTAAAGAAGCAGACACAACATGCAAAAACAGCCGTTGGCTTTGTTGAAATACTTTGTGCATGCCTATTTGACAATCCACGTAGCATTGACCACCACATTCTGCATTACTAATTTGTTTCACAAAATAGAAGATTCTTTTGTTTGTATAAAAGTTAATAACATGCGGCATTTTATGTAGATGAACAATGAGCCTATAACAATGATCAGTGATTCTACACCATTGTTATACCGAGACAAATTTGCAGAAGTAGTGTGTTATCAATTTGCGACAATTTAGTTTTTATCCACATTCTCATTATTGCTTTTAGTCAGTAGTATCCTGAACAAACTTCGAAAATTATGATATCAAAGGGTTTTGAGTTAAGGTTCATCATTTTCATCTACATTCCCCCAAGGTTCTTATACACTAGTTAGTAAAAAGGGTCCAAGGCTAACCTTAATTTTAAGCTAAAAAAACTTGACATAATTCGTAGATGAATATATACTTAAGAGTAGATATTAAAAAAAGCAGTCTACTCGTCAAATATACAAAACTCTTTAATCTAAACGTCTTAGATGTTGTTTTATATCAAAAATCTGTATCAAAATATTGTACATGGAAATAAATTAATTTGCATTTCAAAATTCTAGATCTATGTTAGATTTTGTATTTGGATTGATTATGCATTATATACATGCATCTTAGATGTTACATCCAAATGATGTTCGATAATGTGTTAGTGTCCTTAGGAATAAGAGACAAAGTGGAGAAGAAAGATGGATGTGAATTACTGTTGTATATTTTCCTCATGCTTGACAACTATCAAAAGTTGGTACTTAAAAAATAGTTGATGGTCATTTACATTGACACATGTGTTTTGCTAAAGTGAGAGTGGATTTTATTTAATTCCGTCTCATTTGGATTGTAAATTCGTGGAGTACGTTTACTTGTTAATGCCAACATTATAGGTGTATCTAAGCCCAGTCCTTAGTGATTATGGGTCGAAAAATAAATCAAAAACACTTAAAAACATTACAAACATTACAAACGGACCTTAATTAAGAGCATTATAATTGGTAGAACTAATTTTGAATCCTTAGATTATTTTTATTATTATTATTATGTTAAGGACAAAGTAAGGACAATTTTAAAATTGTAAATTATTGGTAGGACTTTATAAATAGAAAAACCTTCAAAGTAGAAAGAGTAGAAAAGATTTCACTTATCAATGGTACTAGTATTATTATGAGTTCATGTTTTCAGTTACAAACATAACTTATCAGAAACAAACTTTTTTGCTACTTGAACAAAGAAGACAATGCTTATGGACGAAACCTCTCTTACTGCAAATCCAATAATTGAATAACTAAAATCACCTGTAGGGAAGTCACCGGAGATAGTAGACTTCAACTCTTCTGCTTCCTTTGGATGCTTTTTCTCATAAACTACAAACTTAGCATTTCAATCAGCTTCAAGAGCAGCTCCTTCAGGGGTGTGACGGCTCCATTGACTACAGACATGTAAAAGCCGAGTCTTCCGACAGAGACGAGAGGTCCACCGAGAGAGACGCCCAATCCTTCATCCGATCGAGCAAACCGGAAAGATTCGAGTGAGGAAAGAGGAGATATGGAACAAAAGAGATGGAAGCAGAAGGAGGAGATGAGTGACGTGTCCTTTGACGAAACTTAATCTTTACCTTACACCACAAATTCTCCAATCACATGTTGATACCTGTATGAAGGATCAGCCCAAGACGAGCCCAAAAACTTCTTAAACTGGGACTTTTGCTTGCAATAAGAACGTCCATTATTTCTTTCTCATTTTTTTTTTGGGCAAAAATCCTTAAGGACCCTAATAAGGACCCCAACAAGGATGCTCTAAGAAGTTTTGGGCTTGATCCTTATTACCAACGTGGCAGCAGGCGATTGGGTATCAAAATAGGTTAGGGAAAAGTCGCTTTGCGTCTTGTATTTTTCTGACTTCTCCCGATTCTCTCTTGTCGGCGGCGAAAGATGTCGATAGCTTTTCCAGTGATTTACTTCTTCTGAGACTGAAGGTTACTTCGGTCCGAAACCATGGCGTCCGTACCGAGAGGCCTCATTTCTCGCATCAGCCACCCTTCTCCCTCGCAATCTCTTCCCGTTTGTAGTTTCTTTTTCCTCCAACGATTCAGCTCCGATGCTGGGTTCGTCGAGGGTATTGAATCCGATGTAACCGAGGTTCTGTATAATCGAGGCAAAACTCGGTGAGATGTCCTAGAGCTCCAAAAGGACATGGATCATCGCCGTAAAGTGTGGGATGACTGCTCTCTGGGACAAATGGGGGAGCTAGGGTTCCTATTTCTATCCTCTGGGTCGATGACAACATCGTCTCTCAGGTCAAGACCATTGAGAAAGAAGGATCTTTGCGTTACAGGTAGTTTCTTTCACCCGCTAGTTTAGTTATGAAGATAAGTGTTTTGTGAAAGTCTCTCTCATGGCTTTGTGTTCTGTGTTGGTTTTAGATTGGATGTGGGAATAAGAAACCGAAGCATTTGACAATGCCTGTGTTGGGTCACTTCAGAGCTCAAGGTGTGGCGTTGAAGAAGAAGTTGAGAGAGTTTCCTGTGATGGAAGATGCTCTTCTTCCGGTTGGTACAGAACTCAGTGTACGCCATTTTGTTCCTGGACAGTAGGGCTGTTCGTTTGGTTGCCGCCAGTCTTGCGGCTGCGGCTAAGACCTGCGGCTAATCTTGTTCGTTTCGTTGACGCGGATGACCTGCGGCAGCGGCTGCGGCTGGACGCGACATTTGCGTCTGACGCAGATAAAAAGCAGCGTATCTCGGATTTTTCCTACGTTTAATTAATTTAATTACAATTCTACCCTTAACCTAATGCATTATTTACTAAAAGACCTGAGCTTATTAACCTCAGCCGCAACTCTATTCTCCTTTGAAGCAACTTTTTGAGCAGATCTCCAACTCATCTCTCCAGCTTATCCGACGCATCTCCAGCTCTCTCATCTCGGATCTGACGTATCTCAAGCTCTCGAGCTCTCTCCATCTCCCTGAAACTCTCACCATCTCGAGCTTCTCTCCATCTCAAGCTCTCCCCATCTCAAGCTCTCTCCATCTCGAGCTTCTCTCCGTCTCAAGCTCTCACCATCTTGAGCTTCTCACCATCTCGAGCTTCTCTCCATCTCAAGCTCTCACCATCTCGAGCTTCTCTCCATCTCGAGCTTCTCTCCATCTCGAGCTTCTCTCCATCTCAAGCTCTCTCCATCTCGAGCTCTCTCCATCTCAAGCTCTCTCCATCTCGAGCTTCTCTCCATCTCAAGCTCTTCCAAGCTTTGTTTGTCTCTCACTCTCTGGTAAGGTTTCTCTGTCTCCCAAGCTCCTCTGTTGGGTTTGTTTGTCTGTCTAGTAAGGCTGGGGCTTTACAATTTTAGTTCTTTATTTGTTTTCTTACAGGACTTGTTGGGTTTTTGTTCCTCCTCAAAGCCAGACCATCTGAAGCTCAGATCCTCTCAAGCTCTCTCTGGAGGTATGGTTTATGGTTCTTTGTTTTGTTAAGTTAAAGAGTTTTGACGAGGCTAGAGCATGTTGGTGTTTGTGTACGTATGTGTATGATTCATTTAAGATGAGTAAAGATGTGTATCAAGCTCTCTTGTCTAAAGATGTGGATTTCCCACTAATTGGTCTACTTGTTTCCCATAATTGTATTTCAAGTTTGTGTTCTCAGAGTTCACATATAGCCTCTTATTGAAAAGACAAGTTTGCTTATTCTTGTTATACTTGGTTTCAGCTCACAATCAATAAGACTTCTTCTTTAGACAAGAAGAGAACACTCACGTTTACCATCTTTGGCTTAGGGCTAGTGGGTCCAGCACTGCATTTCTGGTAGGCATCTGTTTATTTCATGTGTTTCTTTGATTACTCGTGTATGTATTGGTTAAATGGTTACGTAGAATTGGTTAAGCTTGTGTATAGTGATGATTCACGTATAGTGTTTGTGTAAGTTAGTGTTTTATTTTATCATTACAATAAGATATGCAATCTGCAAGAGTTCTCTTGTATCTTAGCCTCCATTGCACTGACAATCTCCATTTATTCACTTATTCTTTCTGTGTTTTTTGCAGGCTCATCTCGAGCTCTCTTCTCCGCAAAACCACTCCGAGCTCTCTCAGTCTCAGACTCTCCCAAGCTCTCACTCTTCTCCAACGACGAGGATTACGGTGAGAGATTCTACTTGGTTTTATTGCTTTGTATTAGCTATTTTCTTAGCTTTTATGTTCACTTTAATAAGTGCTTATAGAGCTTTACTTCATGATTGTTTTTTGTAGGTATCATCAACGTGTTAGCTAGAGCTTTTGCGTTGGACGTGATCACGTGAACACAATAAAAGTATCAAGCTCTCTTATCTCTCTGTTCTCATTGACTTTATCATGTGTTCTATTATATATATATATATATATCGTAGCAAGGTTAATATATATATATAGAATTATTTGTACAGATTTGTAGCAAGCTTTACTTTTTGTTTGTTTAATGGTGATACAGTATGTGTATTGGTTACAGTCCTTATTGCTTATTACATGATTTTTTTTTGCAGGTATCAAGCTCTCTTATCTCAAGCTTACACTCTCAAGTTCACACACTCAAGCTCAGATCCTATCAAGCTAAGATCCTCTCAAGTTCCTTACCTCTTAAAGTTTGGTAAAGTTTCTTTGTCGATTACACTTGAATCTCTCCAACTCTGTTGCTTATAGCTTATTGTTTTAATCTCTTCATTTCTGTCTTTTTTTGCAGGCTCTGTCGTCTCAAGTTCAGACCCTCTCAAGCTCAAGCTGCTGCTGTTCTCAAGGTCTGTTCTTTGTTATTTTATGATCTTCATATTTATGATTCTTCATGTCGTCTGTTTGAACCCATGTGTTGGTTGCTTATAGCTTGTTGTTTTAATCTCTTGAGCTTATTTTTTCTGTCTTTTTTTTGCAGGTTCTCTCGTCTCAAATTCAGACCCTCTCAAAACACTCTCAAACTCAGAACCTCTCAAGTTCAGACTCTCTCAAGACCCTCTCAAGTCAGACTAGCTCCACTCGCTATCATAAGGTATCATCTCCATCACCTGATTGAATACTTGAATACTTGAAGTGTTTGCATTTAACCTCGAAAATGTTATTTACTCAGAGACTCTCCCTTTCTCTGTCTGTTTGCAGGCTCTCTCGTCTGAAGCTCACACACTCAAGTTCACACCCTCTCAAGTTCAGACTCTCTCAAGTTCAGACTCTCTCAAGTTCCTTGCCTCTTAAACTTTGGTAAGGTTGCTTGTCTCTTGGTTTCAATTGACTCTTGAGTATTACGAAATACAAGTCTTTTGGTTCTTGTCTTTGGACACATATACCTTGGTTGAGTTAGGTTCTTGTCTTTAGGTTTTTCATTCGAGACTTTGGTTGAGTGACAGAGAAATGGTTTTGGTTAAGTTACGTACATTGTTAATGGTTTAAAGGGACACATCGCTACTGCTCTTGCTTATTATTTTTTGTTAAAGTAATGGGTTTTTTTTTTTCTAAAGTCTTCTTTCTTTGAGACTGTCTTCTACTTGCTTGTATCAGTGTTCTGAACTTGTGTGTATCAGTGTTCTAAAGTTTTCGTTATATTTCACTCTATTTCCATCAATACAAAGTATATGAGTTTAGTCTTGAATGGTTTTTATTAGAGTGATACATGTTTCAGATGGTTTGTTTTCTTGATTAATTCTAAATATTATATATATATATACACATAGTAATATGCTTTTATTTTCTTGTTGATGGAATTCACGAATTCAAATAACATTTGAACATTGAGGAAACGTTCTTTGTTTTTTTGTTCCTTACTGTTTTTATAATGAACTAAAATATGAAGTAAAGCAAAAGTTTGGGGAGAATTAAACTTTGAGTAGATATATGTTGTTGACACGTTTATTAACAGTGCTTAGAGGTTTATATCTAAATGCTTATTCTTTTTTTTGATTTGCAGGTATCAAGCTCACACATTCAAGCTCAAACCCTCCCAAGTTCTCGCTCTCAATCATTTAAGACTTGATGTATTATTTAGCTTTTGTTTTGTGTTAATACTTTGATATATTATTTGTGGTTTAAAACTTTGTTTTATTTATTTAAGACTTGATGTATTATTTAATTTTTATTTTGTGTTAAATACTTTGATGTATTATTTGTGGTTTAAGACTTTGTGGTTTAAAATTTTGTTTTATTTATAATATTTATGATAAATAAATGTTTTTAAATTAGTATATTTTCCTAAAAAATTATTACAATTAAATAAAATATTTTGATGGATGTAAAATATATTTAAACAACATTTTCTTTATTTAAAATACAGTTTTACAAATTTTTAAAATTAAAATATAAATTAAATGAAAATAAAACTTTCTGCGGCTGCGTCTGCCAAACGAACGGCATAAATCATTTCTCTGCGTCATGCGTCTACGTCAATGTATTGCGTCCATGAAACGAACAAAACTCTGCGGCTGAGGCTGAGTCTGCGTCTGCGGCGGCGGTTGCAAAACGAACAACAAACAAATGAATAGACGCAGCCGCAGCCGCATACTCAGCCGCAGCCGCAGCCGCAAACGAACAGGGCTAGTATGTTGATGTCACTGGGATCACTCGTGGGAAAGGTTTTTAAGTGAAACCATACTATTATCACTCATGGGAAAGATTCCTGGACTATGTTGACGTATTTTTTGTTATGTAATTTTTTAGGGAATCATGAAAAGGTTTGATGCGGCTAGAGGGGATGCATCACATGGTAATTCAAAGGCGCAGCGAACAATTGGTTCCACAGGTCAAAGAGATGATCTGGAAAAGGTAATGTGTCAAAAATTTTGCTTACTAATGAAGCAATTTCACAAGAACGTTGTTAATACGTTTTTTGGGTTTAGGTTCTCTCGTTTCTCTCTTGCTTTCTTTAGTTCTATATACACACACTTTGCTGCGAACTTTATCAAATTACTCAATGCTCTCCATTCTGTAATGTCTACTACTTCCAAGAACCAAAATACTCTGGTTTGGTAGTATTAAACCTGGTAGAGAACAGAGTATACCTGAAACAAGGAGAAGATATTATAAGAAAAAGGAAAAAAAGAGAAGAGGTTGTAAGAACAGAGGAAAAAACAAGCTACTATCACATGGTTTGTATCACATGTTCCTGTGTGCTTGTGACCATTATATTTTACCAATGAAAATATAGTATCACAAGATGTATAATTTATTTATTAAGAGACATCATAAAATCCCAGCAATAATCTGCACTTTTGCTAATGTCTCTTAATACTGTTTTTTAACTTAAAAATAATAATAATAAAACCTAAGAATTCTAAAATTTGTCCTACCAATAATGTTGCTCTAACACTTGACCTTTACGCAAGAATGACATACATATTTGAAGACATTGAATGCATTACCCAAATGAATAATTGAGAAAAAATCACTCACGCATTGTTAAAGAGAGGTGTGAGTACTCCACCAAATGATCGTTAATCATGTTTTCAAGATCCATTTCTTATAATTGACAAGTATTGTGGCCAAATATAAAGCCATATTTCACATCATATTCAGACCATCCTTCACTTTGTAGTATTCCTCTTACCCAACACATGCTTCAATTTTAACCCAAAAAAAAACACATGCTTCAATCTTGAAAAAAAAACATATGTCAATTTTGGCAAGCGCTCCGGCGTTATTTATTTCCAAGAATGTATAGTCAAGGAACTTCATTTTATACCAAATCAGTGGATTCTAAACGATCTTCATCTTTTCCGCTCTCCCGAAAATTTCTCCATAACAATTTTATTTCAAAGCAAATGGATGTTCTTGAAAGTTTTTAAACTCATATAAAGATTACATTTCGAAAAGAAGTAAGCTTATTTTATAGTCTAACATCTCAATTTTTCAACGTAACAGCAATAGATAATTGAGAATTCATTTTCGTTGTAACTATTTTAAGATAAAATTTTATGTTATAAATCCTAATGATTTTTGCAATTAATTATTGTTGGTTACACTAGGTTACAAGCAGAATTCGAGATATATGTGTTGATTTACCTAAAACAATAAAAAATATTTTTGACATAAAAATAGTAATTTAGGTATGTTAATTCTTTTGATCCGAAATCTAAACACAATTTCAATATTTTTCTCTAATATCAAAATATACTAAAATATATCTGCTTTATTTTTTGATTAGAAAATATATCTGCTTTAGTGTATTTTTGTAACTTTTTCATTTTATATATATAAATAAATCCATGTTTTGTTTTCAATATAGAATATTTTAAATATTATATTTAAAACTGTACAAACAATATTTTCGATTTTTTCACATTTGAAATAATTTTAGTTTTAACAAATGAATACACTAACTAATTGTTATGAAAAAAATTACAGATAACCTAATTTAAACCAACTTATTACAAGCCATTTTATTGTGATAAAAAAAAACAAGCCATTTATGGATTATGGATAAAAAAAACCATTTATTTATTCATTTGAATTAACGGGATTATGGATTTAATCCATTGACTCATTATATATTATTAATATTACAAATTTATTAAAATAAGTAAATAGTTATGTTAATTTTCAAAAGATAATATCATACACAATATTCAAATATGTATGTTTGTGATTATGGAAATTTAGAAGTTATAAAAGTAAAGTTGATGAAATTAAAAAAAATATTTATTTTAAGAGCAACATTATGTAAACATATTACATTACTCTTTTATTAGTATACGAGGTGGTTGCCTGAGAATTCTTGGATACAAATAATTTTAAAATTTTAATATATTAATACAAGTTTGTTTTGTTTTTGATACCTTATAATATTTTTTAATATAATACTTTTTAATTTTAATAAATGAATGTGAATACTATTTGTTATATATATATATATATATATAAAATTATATATTATTTTGACTATTTTTTAAATTTTAAAAAAATAAATATGAATTTTTATAATATTCTATTAGATTTTTTTTTATTAATAATCATAGTAAAAACATTTAATTATGCTCCACATGTCATTTCCGAACAACTACATTATGAAATTTTTGTTTCTGAATTTCATTCATTCAATATTACACTGCATTTATAAATCAGATACTTTTTTCTAGAAAAAATATATACAAAATAGAAAAATAATATTTACTAAACATGATATGCACATGATAATAATTTCTGAAATCAAAAAATAATTTCATTGGCTAATATGACTTAGATTAAATTACCATGTGGTTATTTGATGCCAAACATGCAAAATGTTGATATAAATAACCCATGAAAATCACTTAATTGGTTTCTAAATTAATATATATGAGGATTTATATAACATATAAGAATATTGTTAAATATACTTTTCTCTTAAACAATTCATTTAAACGTGAAATAATTTACCATATTTTACAGTAAATAATGAATTAAATATTTGTTAATAGAAAATATTAAATATGCTTATTTTCTAAAATTAATTTTATTTTTTTCTTTAAATTATATTTTATATAATTTTGTATATTATTATCTATACAATACACAAGTAATAAAGTTACTAACCACTAGTTGTATTTTTTAGTATCATCTATAAAATATGCTAGATAAAGTTTTAAATTGTTTTTGTTAATTTGTTTTTGTTGAAAGGTAAAATTTATTGATCATTGTAAAAAATGGACATTTACATAAAGAATATAGAACCAGAAAATATGATGTAACTATTCTAGAGAACAAAAACATTATGTTATAACTTGAAACCATCGTCGCATTAAACCTTCCAACTTGTGATTAGCCTTGTAGTTGAGGGAAGTGATCCGGTTTCTCACCACCTTGTCTATGATTTTTACAATTTGACCCACGGTATGAAAGCCTGTATAAAAAATATTTTATTAAATGCACAAAATCATTTATGAAAAAAATCTGAACATTGATGACACAATTTCATTAATACATTTTTGTGATTACTATTGGTAAGTAGAATTTTTTTGGTTATTTATATAAGTTAGTTTTTAAATTTAATTAAATAAATCAAAAATAAAATACCATCAACCAATTAAATTAAAGCAATTAGTTAAAGAGTTCTTATATGAACGACAAATTAGCGACTTTAAAATTAATACATATGAGGATTTTATTGTAAAAATACAAAATAAATATAGAAACCATTGTATCATTTATTAATTTGAATAACTTTCCATTATCTTCTATCAACTTGTTTCAATAGATATATTTTAGAGTCAATTAGCTAAAATCTACAAAGAAATGAGAAATTAGGTAAATAACTAAAACAGAAAAAATTTGGGAATATTATACCCTGAAGAAATGTTAATTATATTTAAACCCTCCTTATTTTATGCAGATTATAGATCTGTAACTGACATATATACATATAATAAGATATTACTAGATTTTGACCTACCCTTAAAGAGGGAAAGACAACCGTTTTTGCTTTAAATTTATGCCATTGTTTGATTATTCACAAGTATGTATTGACATGAGTATTCGGGTTCAAATAGATTGTCATTAATAATTTTGGTTTGGTCCACATATATAGATTAAATATGATTACATACAATTTAATGTGTGGTATAAGATTGATTTTTCTTATTCGTTTTAGTTAGATAACAAATTTTAGGGACCCGATGAAATTATGAGTTATATTTGATAATCTAAAGTATTGATTTGTAATAGTTTATATTTTGAGTTCAAACTTATTTTTTATAAAATAAATAAATAATTTTAGGGTACTATTATAAACAATTTGGTTGATATTATTGTCATATAAAATAAATAGACATACAACTGACTGTTTATTTTAAAAATTATGGTCATAAAAATTGACATTGTAATTCTTTGTCTTACATCCAATTCTACAAAAAAATGATTTTAGTATATATTTGAAATTTCACTCCTTATGTTAAAATAGAAAATGTTTTGAACTATAAAAAATTAATCTATATTTTAGATTTATGATTACAATTATTAAATATTATGTTTTCCTATAATAAAATATTTATTGTATATATCTTGCGTAAATGTCCATACGTTATACGGTAGTTCACCACCCAACTAGTTTATAACGTAGTTTTGAAGACTGGTTAATATATGTAATTGGCA